TAATCAACATTTCAGCTCCATGACCGGATGTTGCCCACACATTGGTCGTCACACACACACATGCGCACTGGTTAGGGTCATTAGGAGTGAGTGGTTGGGAGGATGACTGTGTCATGTCATAGAAGGCCGAACAATTTGCACTGCAATGTTCCAAACAACCTCTCATCATCCATGAACCCAGTAGTTATGGAATGGTTCAGGCTGTCAGCCCATCAGTTTCGATTTATTTCGTTCGAATTGGGCCACTACCACTCTAGTTTATGAAATGGCCTTTAATCACTCATTCCCTCCATCATGAATACTACTTGCACAACTATGATATTATAACTCAAAAGAGCAAAATATTAATACTAACAATAATTGTAGTTATTATTATTACATGTAAATCGACGGAATTAACGTGGGATGCGTGAGTATGGTCAAAGTGAGAGGATAGTGTTAATTATCCTCTGAGCCAACGCATATATGATTTTCGCTATCAGTTACTTCATAACTGCAACCATTTGGCCAGCTGTTCCATGGAGCACGTGATTTGCTTACGATTAACCTGGAGGACGTTGAACAGTAGAAATTTTAATGAAAATCTTTATCTTCCATAGAAGGAATGAATTCACTTTTGTCGGCCATTCATTATACTATCACGTTCTGCTGCTGCAGCTGCTAAAATAGAAAACATGGAGCATCCAGCACTACCGTGCCTGATTGTGTAGGGCCGTTTATTCAGTGAAGCAAAGACCAGGTCATCAAAAACGTGGAGTAATGCTCGACTGGATGGATACTTGCAGTCGCTTTCAACCTCCGGTACTTTGGAATTATCCACGTGTTAACAAGCACCAGGCATGGATGGCAGTCCTGTGTATGGGTCTCATTCCTTAGAAGATCTTTCATTCCCCACTAGTTAGATGTGTTTGTGAGCGATAGACCATCGAGAAGACTATCAACAGTACCTGGCGCTTATAAACAAATGAACGGATTATTCCGAATTCGGTACTCATAATTGTCTGAACCATTCGCACATGCTGATGAATGTTGCCCGTATAGCTGAAGGGTGCAGGTTTGAAGTCCCGATCAGAAAAGTCACGGTTGGAGCCTTGGTGGGGACAAAATGTATGCACTGCTGACGAGTTTCAAACAGGACAAGACAAACGTCCAGTTCTCTTTGGCTGTCATCACAAATTTTTCCCTCGTGAATAAAAGCATTCAATGAAAAAGGTTTCTTCCCGGTCCTAACCGTTCAGTCCATAGTACTATGAGACGTTTAGCCCACAATGATTAGATTGATTAGATTGTATCACTTTCAAACTGCTAATTAGCTAGAAATGTGCTGATCTATAATTGGACCGGAGCACCGGAGAACGGATTGTCAATGCTGTAGTAAAAAATAAAAACAATACTCGGTAAACAGTGAACTGACATTTGTGTTAAAAGTCTGAACTAAAGCAGAACCAATGTAGCAGATGTGAAAAACAACCAACGTGTAAATAAGGATTACAGTTTGATACCTTTTGCTGTTGACAAACTGTCATCGACTGGGATTTTCACAGAATAACAAATATCAAATTGCGAGACATACACATTTCAGTGAACATTTTCTGAGTGGCTCATCGTGAATGGTATAGAGATTGTTTTTGTTTGGTTGTTTTTGTTTTTATGCACATTTGCATTCTTCCATCTCTTGAGACGTTTCAATGGCACGCCTTTTCTGTATGGATGTCCGAAATTAACTGTCTCAGTTCAAACAGTTCTGAGGCGCTACTGTTAGACAGACATTACTGTACCGAGTTTACAACCGACAGGAAACCGGAAAACTTTACAAGACAATTGTTGTTTTTCACACGAACAGACTGATCGGCCTCAGAGGCAGAAAAGAGAAAAGGGACAACTGAAAACTAACTTCCAGCGAAGGATGTATCAGCTAATCAACCCGGCCAAATCATGGTTGCATCCCAACGAGAGACCGATATATGTATCGCATGGTCAGTTGCCCTGTCCAATTGCATGTCGTCTGTTTTCCTGAAACTACAGCTCTGCATTTTTTACATCAAACACGGCTGACAGATGGTGCAAAAATGTCCACCACGTCAAACGTGCTCTTTTTGCTTCTGATAAGCACTCCTGTTAACCGGGTTGTGTGTGTGGAAAAAATGTCGCGATCCAAAAATCCAAAATGTAACCCATTAATTTGTTCCAGGAATCAGTTTGAGAAAGTGTAGGAAACTGTCCAATTAGGCTAGTTTGTTTCTCACGCCCTTGGAAAAGTTTTTAATAATCAGGAGGCACAAAAATTACCACTGGAACCTGTGTCTCACCCTAAATGTATAGGGCCTAAAAACTACGGAGAATAAATATATATATGAAAGTACTGATGAAAATTAGAATAAATCTGTCCCAACCCGCTAAGATTGAAAACGAGTAAGACAAAACAATTAAATTAAGATGAAAGTGGCTGTTACAAATGGGAATAAAACTTTCACGCGGACTGAGAGTCACAACCTGTTAATTTATTTTGATATTTATTAAAAACATCAAACTAGTTTGTCATTTCAATATCCAATTGTTCATTTATAAGATGGACTTCCATGAATCCTTTTCGATAAATACTGAAAATAAAGCGAGGATAATATTAGGCACCTACCATAAAATGATACACTCAGTTGCAAATGAGTTAGGATGATTCGTGCAATAGCTCTGTTTGTCTGAGGCATGACCAGCAGGAAAACTGGAAAGGAGGAAACCTAACTAACTGCGCACTCCAATCATCACCTTGTCCTTTTGTGCCATATGGATTAACAACTTCTTGCATCACGTGATAGGATCAGGGTTGCTTGAAATTATGTAGAAGTCATTTGTTGTACGTAGTTTGGGCGGAATGATGGACTTCGATAGCAGTTGCATCTATTTCGGATGATAATCTATCGTGGTGGTCTCGACAGGAGCACGGAAACTTCGAACAGAATGCTAGGAACTGTCACAATTTATAAGGTTCGCAAAGCGATTCCTTGACGTCCAAAATCTTATACATTTCCGGGTAATACTGATTAAACTACTTACAAGGCACAGCAATCACTAATAGATTACATATTTTTTGCACAACACTAGCAAAACTCTCACTGGTTCACTTTGCGTGTGCGCTAAGCTCTTTTCGATTAAATATTTACATTTGATTTCTCCCAGCACCCATTCCCTCCTTCCCAATATAGGATTGTAAACCTTTCGGTCGTTCTGATTGTTTGCTTGTCTAGTGTAAAAGTTATTGCTCCAAAGAACGAATGATGACAAAAGCATACCGACCGCTAGTACCCGATTGTGGATTTATCAAAGCACTAGTAATCTGTTCTAATTTATTCTCGAATAACCTCAGTCGTTTTGCTATCTTGTCTTCTGCTGGCCTGTTAAGGCATCCAGACGATTTTGGTTCCTCACTTACCGTAACTTGTAAGTAAGAAATTGCTAGCGTTCCAGATAGTCTCTCATATATACACAAACCTTTCCAATTGATTCTGACGTATTTCCTAAACCCGTTGTAACTGTCCATCTAACTTTCGCACCGCAATTCTTTGTTATTCACTTTTCACAGAGAACAATAGATACCAGACTTTAAAGTGACCTTATTGTTGTTTATTTACTGTTTTATTTGTTCTTCCGTATTCAAAAGCTTAGGAAATTCGGCTCAGGTCAAACAGTACCGAGCTATTGCGTTGCAATTATTCTATATTGTTTCTCCACTGCATTCCTGGGTCCCGTTTAAAAACACTCTTAGCTTATCTATCTTAGGTTAGTTGTTATGGCCTATGTTACCATAATTACACAGCATATTCCATCGCCTCCTCTTCAAAAGGCTCAGAATAACTCATTTTCTCTTTCTTTGCTGACAACAATGTTTTCCTACAGCTGATCTCTTGTTCAACATTATCATACCTTGGAATACTGCTTAAATATGGTCATTCAAACAGCTCCTCAATTTTCGCTCTCCTCTGCTTTATGTGGCACAAATTGTCGTCCACAAAAATGAAACTGTGAACGGACTTTCGGTTAATCGTGGAATCTGAAACTCTATTTCTAATAATGACCGTTTTCACCTTGGTCACCCTTTGCGTTTCCTTCTGACTGAAACATTTGTACGCATGGGTTCAACCCGGTTAACATAATGCAATGCAAAGTGACCACTATACAAAAAGCACTTCAACGTGCGACTTTGTAAAGATTTTGTAACGAATTTCTAAATTTGACTGATACTTCTGGGAGCAACATTCTTAAGGGAGGTAGGACAAAAACTGCATGCGTGCGGATTATTAACCAGCGAATAATTTACAATCACTCGCCCCAATCCGTTGCCTCGTTCTAATTATGAATGACTTAAAAACAATATATTTACTTATATGGCTATTAGATTGGGCTCTAGGTAACAGTACTGGAAGACGCAACCTAAAAACGGACGGATGATCCTACCTCAGCCGTACAGGCTTTAATGTGAATAAGATGAATAATTATCTAACCTGATTCAACCGCCTTGAGCACCCAATCTAAACTGACTTAGCTAAATAACATCGGTTAAATAACCAGTCCTAATCTGGGTTGAAGACTTGGATCAAATATTCTGCGGTTACGCATAAATAAAAACACATTTCAACTGAGAGAGAACAGAATAAATATGATGGAGATTGTTCAAGAGCTCTGGCCCATCCATTTCAGGATTATGTAATTATTATTAGTGTAACCTGACTTGCTTTCTTGCTTTCTCTTAGACCCCACCCCCGCAAAATCTCATAAATCGCATTTTGTTAAATGTTAATTAAAATGGAATTTGAGAAAATTAAATTCATTTTAAATTAACTTTTTTCAAAAGGCGGAAAACCAATTTTTCTCAAACCCCAAAAATAGTAGCAATAATGAAAATAACAGTTCACAAACCTCGTCTAATTTTACAGCCCTCCTGAAAAAAAATACACAAGTAATCATTCTTTTTGTCCTCCATAGGTTCCTAAGAATCCATTTCTCACCTCATAGTAGCTCTGGATAGCGTTTGTGAATGCCTCGTCTCCGACAACATCCAGTTCTCCATTCAAAAATGCCTGGAATCGTTCTTTGAATGCGTTCAATTGCTGCTTGGTGATCTTCAAATAGCGACGAACCAGGTCGGTTGGGGGTTTGGAATAGAATGGATATGCGATACAACGCATGACGAACACATAGCTAACCGGTCAGCGAAGGGGCACGAAACGAATTTGAGCGGGAGAGGAGAAAATGAAAGACCGTAATTATTACAAATGTGCCACGGAGGGCAAACAACACGAAGCACACTTTTTGCATTCTATCCAATGTCATGCATTGATATGATCACTTCTTTTCCATGGGAAGGTAGGAATAATCAATAACCAAGTAATTAGAAATGAAAAATGCCGGGATTTATAACAAGATATGACACAAAATTTACCAAATTATACAAGAACCTTACCTTAGCTATATTTCATCTGCGTTCGTTGATGAAGCCTATGTGCTCATCAGTCTAAGTTCTATAACCAAGTTAAGCAAACTGATACAAATGTGAGTTGTGGGTAAAATTTGAATTTTGATAAAGTTGTGCAAACGGTTGCCTAAACGTATATTAGGTACAATTCACAATTGAACTACCCAGCCAGTGTTATTGAAATTCAGTGTGCAATGAAACAAATCGGTACTTGCGTAGACATAAGCGAGATTTGGAGTTGTAAAAAAGATAGAAGCAACAAATGACAAGCAAAGCGGAGCGTTATCATTTTCCGTCATGTGTCACTCACTAATCACTGCTATTCTGACTTATTCTGACGAAATCCCTTAGCTAAAAATGGATTATCTTCGTTGCTTTGTCAGTTCAGCAAACTTTGTGTCAACCTATTGGTAATTTTTCTCAGTAACTAATCGCAATATCGACGTAAGTTAATGAAAAATGAAACCATAATGTGTCTATACATAGTCCTGTTTTTCGCGTTTTCAATATTTCTACGCATGAAGATAGAAGTTTAGCTTTACGCGTTGTATTCACATTTCAAGTGTACCCCCTGTCCTCCCCTTCTGCGCGCGTCCTTACTTAGTAAGTATTTTTCAGTTCAACGAAGTCTCTTCACCAAACAGAGCTGCCAAATTCACATTTTGCACCGGTGAATCGCGACAAGCACAATAAATAGCTTCGGAAACAGCAAAACAGGTGCTTTTTCTATTCCAAAGAAAGCACTTTTTGATAGTTCAACTTTGAGAAAGACTTGATGACTGATGTATCCTACATTTTTTGGTGAAGGTTATTTTTATTTCAACCAGAATTTGTGATACTCATTAAATCAGCTAAACCACAAGTATTGCGGTGAAAGTACTCCCTTTATTTAGACTATTAGTAAAGTATATTTTGTGAAGTTAAAAGAACAGATCGAAAGCATCGCTCGGTATTTACGCATCTTAAATGACCTAAGACGCTAATAGTTTAAAATATAGTACTGCTTTCTCGAATCGCAGTAGTACAGAAGGCAAACTTTTGGAAAGCGTTCTTGAATAACCTATGACTGTTGTTGGGAAGATGCAATTATCAGGTTCCCCCATATTACCTTTCAGAGTCAATCGCCCTTGGACAATGGAATTTATCAAAGAGACTTGTGCAAAACCGGCTTTGTTCATTGAGGACAAGTATGAATTCCACCAAAACTGGTCAATTCAGTCACCAATCGGAAGTTATCTCAAAATGATTTATTTATCCAAGGAAATTTTATATGACTTATTCGAGTTCTAATCTGATCCATGGGAATTAGATGACAATAGTCATGTTACCGTTCTTCTTGTGAGATATCACTCCTGGGGTGTTCAACTATCACGGTGCCGATTTCATCACACCTTTTACAATGGAACCAAACGCAGTGTGCGGCAAGTAACACGGGACAGAAATTTCGTCTTTCCAGGGTCTCATCAGAAGTGTATGTTGTCTTTTTGTGTCTTAGATTTTGAAGTTACAACCTACATGATCAAGGACAATCACATTGAGCACGTGATTGCTAAATCAATTAAATCTGTGGATTTCTGTTCTAACATTATATGATTTTGCTTTTTTATCGAGCTGCTCGGCCGACTGTATCACCCTATGCTACTGCTCTTCAAGCCAGTTGGTTCTAGACGGTATTCTTTCAATACATATTGTCTACTATCGTCTATTCTCAGCTTCTAAGGTTCAAAGTGTTCAGAATACAATTCATAAAAGTTCCTTAAACCTCAGGCTTTACATTTCGCGAGGATCAAAATATTAAATCACTGATTCCTCATCTCAGCGAACGATCTCATACGCTTCACTACAAAAATCATGGCGCAAAACTGATAGGTCATTAAAAATGTGAACACTTTTCCATCCCCCGGAGTGATACGAGATGACCACAGTTGTCCCTGGGGAAAACAACTTGCGTTCATCATTCTGACCTATCAACCAGCTGAAAACTCGTATGTTCACATATGTTCGTCGTGCAAGGAAGAATGGTACGGAAAACCGGGGTGGGGGGTTTGCGAGGCGAGTTCATATCCCTTAAACCTTTTTCAGCTCGATGCATAGCAATCAGACCAGAACAAGTCCAAACGAAATAGGGGTCAAAACATCAGTGAAATGTGGAAGGGTGATGTATGAGACTAACAAACTGCTCGGACTCAAATCTGTTCCGTTGTTAAACAGAAACACATTCAATGTCGGTAAAGCGGATATTTTCAATCACACTTCTGGGGACTGGGGAAAACTAACTTAGTGGAGCGTCTACAACTCTGATTAGTCAGGACGTGAACTATGAAAGGAAAGCAATTTTTCACACACACTCCTTGAAGAAAGTGCACAGAGGAATAAATGGAACGAACATCAACAACCTATTCCTTACATGAATAATACTCCACGTTTTACCCTTCTCTCTCTCCCCCCCCCACCCCTCTTTCTTACATGCTCAAGTAGCTAAGTGCAATCGATGATTAGTGTGAATTCAACACCGAACTAGACGTGACGTATGCTCCTCTAATCAATAGTCTTCTCACACTTCAGACAGCAGTCTTATTACAAGTGTTGCATCCGAACATAGTTCACACGTAATTCTGTACCTAATTTACTAGTCTGTTTAATTTTGGACGACCTTCAAACGGCGAATAGGTGTTGTTTTTATCCGAAGAATTTAAATAGTGTTTTTTCTTATTGACAATCGTGGACTGATAAATTCAGAATCGCTGTTGTCCACCCACGTACTCGAATATTTTTTGTTTTGTTTTGTTTTGTTTTCTTCCGTAAAACCCTTTTTTCATATTTGTTTCTTCAATATTGACTGAACAGAATGAAAACAGTTGCGAGCATGTTTACTCTTCCGATCAAGATAACCTGTGAGAATGAGAAACACCAAAGTCCGAACAGCCTGTGTTGAGCTCTGAGCATGAAAAATAGCAATCTAAGCACTGGGATGATTGTGTCTACCAGCGGGGTGACGTATAGAAAATGGGGCTCATATCTCATCGATTTTGGATCGGTTAGCGTCATTAACCAGGACCCAGGTTGGTCATTTACAACCGCCGTAACCAGAATAACTGGAAAATACATATGGTGAAAAAAGTGCCTCGTAACAATAATATAAGAACCATATTTTAACGGTCTTTTATTGGATACGTTTACGCTATTAACTTTCCCGATTGGGATGCGCACAACAGTTCAGATCGTGCGGATACGCACACGATTATGAACTGTGTCCAATTCTCACTTTCAAATACACTAAGAAAACACACATAGATTCAAAGAAGTACAGATAAACATGCTTTTGCACCCACCTCTACATGAACACAATTTTATGGCATATGCAGATTCAAAGTCACCTATATAGGAAGCACATTACAAAGACAGTGAACGAAGCCAATGTATTCACTCTCTACTTGGCCAATTCTATCAATGAGCACGCAGAAATCCGCATGCATTACGTGATGGTAGGGTTGAGGCTTACTTAGAGGTTAATTTACTGATAATTTATCCCCCTCCTAATCCAGTGGGTGTTAGTGACAAACGTTACAGTATGATAATTTGTTGAAATTCCCACTGAAGATATGAGATTGAATTTTTTTACATTCAATGCTTAGACCCTTTCCCTACGGTCTTTTTAAAAAAATCGTATCGCTGAATATGATGATGCACATTCTCAAATAGCACTGGTCAATCTGGCTTCTGAACCGGGTTCAAGATTATGCAATAAGGGAAGCACTGAGACCCGTCCGAACTGACTAGTCCGGTATATGCTTCATAGTAATATCAATAATATTAGCTTTCAGAATAATACTGTAGCCATGAACTAGACACCACGGATGTTAGTCGCCAAAATATTCCCATGCAGCTACGGCTATTAGCTTAAAAACAATAATGGACAAATGTGTGAAAAAGGGCACCAATATGTAAGATGCATACATACTAGGTTGTGTGGGGAGGTTGAAAATGATCACAATTCGTGATGCACGGCTCGGTTCAAGCTTTTGAAACTTCCAATAACATATCGAATATACGCATATATATATTTTTGCACATCTACGAAAAGTTCAAAAAGGAATAAAGATCATGCTGTTGCTTGAATAAGGCACAATTTTTATGACGGAAACACGCAAGATTGAGTGGGTTCTGCACAAAACAAACATCTTTTTCGTTTCATTAGTTTTTTTGAGAAGCTATAATAAAAGCAGCGGAAACATCGACCAGCACGACAATGCGGATAACAGAACGATAGATCTCTTCATCATAAAGTCCCATTTGAAGACGAATCTGTGATGTTCGCTTACTTTCGTAAAAATATTTTATTCAATTCTGGAAACTCATTTTGCGTTTATGCATCCCCATGTTTTATCCACCTTAAGGCAGCTATTTTGATGGTTGGATTAGACGTAGGTTTCCGTGACCGTTAAAACAGTGGTTCATGTTGCCGAATATCGAAGACTCAAGATATAAAATAATGAATTTAAACTGAACCTGTCATTAATTCACATCATAGTGCAGGTGTAACTGATGGTTGGCAAACCACGTGCAGCAGACAAGATTGGCAATTGAGTTCCACCCGAACGGATATCGGCAAGTTTCGCTGTGAGTAGCCCCTTTTGTGAATTTAAAATCTGACGAAAAGCTTTAAAGCTGATTAGTTCCGTGAAAGTCGCAGAACAAATCTCTATGAAAAAATGTCTTTACTTCC